GGAATTGAACTCATGCGGAAGTGGCTTTTTAGCTTCTCAGTGCAGCGCTTTAACCCGCTGCGCCAACAGGGAGGACCGAAACTTTTTTTTAAAAAAGATTTATTTATACATATAAGACCTAGAGCACAGGCCAGAAGTGCTGGAAGTGAGAGGATTCGCCAGAGACAGAGTGGGGAGCAGAACTGGCAGACAGACTGAAATACACTGCTGAGGGGAGCAGCGGGAGGGACAGGAGAGGTCTGCTGTGCCCTGTAGGTCAGCTACCTGGCCAGGGTTCGAACTCTTGGTACAGTGGCTGTGGATACCTTCATAGTGCTGTGCTTTAACCCCATGCTTTGCCAGGGAGGGCTCCCTATTGAACCTTGCATTCCAATTCCATTAGTATGTTTTTTGAGTGTCAACTCTACGCAAAGCAATGTATTAAGGTTCTGTGATTAAGAGATTAGCAAGAGTCTCAGAGAACAAGTGGAGACACAAATACTTTACTACCAGGTAGAGAGATAAGAGGAAGTACTGAAGAATTTATGCCTTGAGAGGCCACATATTGGGAAGGGGAGTGTTTCAGTTTGGTTTTGCCTAAAGCTCTTAGGTTATGGACATTAGTCTGTGTACTGGGGTGGAAGAAACATTCTGGAGACAGAACATGAGGTTTCAGTTCTTCTGCCTCTAACTAGGCCATCAGATCTTGAACAATTTGTTTTACTTCCCTGGGGCTTAATTTCCTCGTTTGTAAAATGAAGTTTTTAAATGAAATGACCTTTAAAATTCTATTGCTTTATATATTTGCTAATGTTTAAAATGTGTGCAGTAGTTCTAAAAAATTTTCAAATCATCCAAGTAAAATGTTTGTATATTTCAAATAATGCATTTGGGTACATGTTTTAGTATTTGGAAGATAAGGAAATAATCTGGATAAATGAACCATAAACTTTAGTTTCTTGACTAAGAGATTGATGATAACATGATCTGCTTTTAACAATTAGGGATAGTATATTGGAATGTGTTCCCCCCTTCCTTCAACTCTTTCCGCCTCATGATTTTTAAAATTGTGCCTATCTATAAGCCAGAAAGAGAAAGAAAAATACCGGATGGTTTCACTCATAGCAGGAGTATAATGGACCAGGCGAGAAAATAACAAAAATAATGAACAACCATATACCAGAGACATTTTGTGGGGGTGGAGTGGGGAATGGGATCAAAACTGGGGGGGGGGGAAGGGAGGGAAATACACGGGACTATGGTGGTGGCACAGGGGTGATTTGGTGATGGGAAACCCGTGGGGATTACAATCGAGATGGGAAAAAAAATGTGCAAAATGATGTAAGAATAAACTTTGTAAAAAAAAAAAAAATTGTGCCTATCTATGACCTGGTACAAAAGCAAAGAGAAAACCTCAAATAAATCCATCTTTTGGCCCCTTTCCCAGAGGAGTCCTTTTAAATTCCGGGCTAAGATTGTTTGAGAATTCTCTTTAAATGTCAATGAAAAAGAAAGATGAAGGAGCATAAAAAAGCAGGTTTAGAAAAAGAGCTATCAACTTACAAATTTACCTCCTCTCCTATGACTCTTTGTAACCAAGCGTGCTTCAGCCTACAAGAATGGCCTGCCACCTAGCATTTGTAACAGGTGAGCCTAGCACAATCAGTGGCTTAATCCAAATGACTTCTCATTCAACCAAAGCACAACTAGTGGTAGGGATGGTGACAGCAGTAGTGGCCTGTGCCCACCTGTCCCACATGTCCTTCAGGAACCCAGACTAGAGACTCAGCCAGCCTGAGACTCAGCTTCAAAGCCTGAGTTCCAAGGTCACCCTTGGTGTTACGATCCAGGGGGCAAAGCCTTCAATTGGAGGGAGGAAGGATAGCTAAGGCTTCCCTGTTGGAGGCCTTTTTGAGCCTGCCCTGATATCACCTCCATCCACAATACAGCAGCTGGAGCTCAACCCCCTGTGCACATGACAGGTGAGAACCCAAACGGGGGTGGGGGGGTGGGGGGCAGGGTCTAGCTCCATGCCAAGATGAGAAGGCTACATTTTGATTACTACAGTGGTTTCTGCCTCATCCAGGGATCCTTATTCTGTCTAGCTTTGCTTCTCAACGCTCTCCTTTCTACCTCACATCTGTAATTGCTGACAAACTATTTCAGAGGTGATTCCTACTTCCCATGAGTAGCTGGAAAATATTTTTATAGTAGTGCTACTCATCAAGTAAGCATATGATTTGCATGGTGAACCCCTTAGGATTCTCCAAGTATTCTAATTTCTAACTTAGTAGTAATAGTTTAGATAAGGCATACGATGGTCATATGATACTCTGGGTTGTGCATATAGGTTTAATTTCTGGTTCATGTAAGTAGGAATATTACTCTCCTAATGTTATCAGACTCAATGGGGTCAGCAATAAAAAAGAAAAAACTTCTCAGATCTCCAATTTCCTTTTGGATCATTTGTCTAGGAAACTGGCTTCAGAATTGCTGGTTCTGACAACTTTCCAGGTGGATATCACAGCTTTTTGGGGTATAGAGCAGGGTTCTCAAAGTTTGGTCCATGGACCAGCAGCATCAATGTTATTAAAAACAATTTGCAGGGCTCACCTTAGGCCAGCCCTACTGAATCAGAGACTCTTGGGGGTAGGGCCCAGCAGTCTGTATTTTCACAAGGTCTCTAGAGAATATCCTAGAAGCATTGGTCTAGTTTGAGTTAAATTACTGCTGAAACATTTCAAGGACCAGGTCAAAAGGATAGTATCTGAAATCATTTTGCTGAAAACATACTGACACTTTCTCTTATATTGCTGAGTTAAGAGTGCTGCAGAAAACTCCAATAATGAAAAAAAAAATTGCTAAAAGTCCTTGGAGGTCATTAGGGCAGTTTCCAAAGGTGCCAGTCAACAGAGATCAAAGGTTCCAAGAAGCCCCCATAGGAGAGTCCTAAGGGAAAATGTCTTTATATATTTGATTGGTGACAACTCTTCAACAATCTCTGACCACCCAGAGATTGTTTCTAAAAGACTCTGAATTCTATGTCAGGAGCTTTAGGTGAAAGTCAAAGTCATCTTTATTTTTGAAAAAAAAAAAATTATGCAGAGAAGAACTGGGGTGTAGGCCAAAGCTGGGACTGGTGGGGGGGGGCAGTGAGAGGACTCACCAGATACAGAGTGGGGAGAAGAACAGGTGGATCTACCAAAACACACTGCGTAAGGAAAGCAGCAGGGGAGACAGGAGAGGTCTGCTGTGCCACATGGGTCAGCTCCCTGGTGGAGGATCGAACTGAAGCTGCTGAACTGAGGCCACTGTGGTAATAATATGATAGTGCTGAGACTTGACCCCTACACCACCAGGGCGGCCCCCCCAACTAAACCTCAAAATTAGTAGTTTGGCTTAGATAGTCAAAGTCATCTAGACTATTTGTGTCACCATGACTTTCCAGAGAGTAGATACATAATAAACATACATGTTAAATGAATGAATGTGTAGAATAGTCATCTCAAGGATTCAGGCTCACATAGAAAAAAAAATCCCATTTGGATTGTGTATCCTGGTTACTACTAAAGGCAACTGATTGATTTGTGTGCAGCCATCTTTTCAGGAGTTAGGATGTTATCTCCCAAATATTAAAAATATTATTGCTACCTCCTCTAAGGAGGGGTGGGGGGAACCTTACAGGAGACAGTGTGTGTTCCATTTCTTGAAATGTCTATAACAGATCCCAGTTACCGCATGTTAACCTTTTCCATGACAAAGTCAAGGTTTCTCTACTTCAATGCTACTGACATGAGGGCTGGATAATTCTTTGTGGTAGCTGCTTTCTTGTACATTGCAGCATCACCAACCTCCCCTCCCACCACCCATCCTGGGACAACCTAAATGCCTCCAGGCACTGAGGGGGGGCAAAATTACCCAGGTGAGAATCACAGTTCTAACCTAATATTAAAAGAATAATTTTCCTTTTTACTCAAAGCTACAGAACCATGCCTTAAGAAAGAGCATATGTTCCTCATTTCTCTTTAGCTCATTGTTGAGGACTTTGGCAGTGACAGCTCTATCTATTTGAAATGATTCAGTTCACATATCCTCATTATTTTAGACCAGTTTTCTCCTTGGAATAATTTTATCCTTGGAAGTACAAATTCATATACTCTAAGCATCTTTTTTATACTTGCTGTGCTTTCCTACATTGACTCAGCACTGAATTCCATTACGAGGCATTTTTACTTACCAATTTTCTAAATAATATATATGCTTGCTAAAGGAACTCTGTACAAAGTCCATAATATAGTGTCAGTACTAACAAAAGGATTTTAATCTACTTCATTAAGATACTTAGGGAAGTAAAAGCTGCACTAAAATAAAATGTACTAGTAACCCTTTATACATCCCATCTCAAGTGTCTGCCCTTGAAAAGAAAGCCATTATTGCTTCTGGGATTTACTTTTTGGTATTCAAAGAATAATAATTATCGATTTATATTAGCTGTTATCCATTTTCTTACTGTTAGCTCATTTATAAATTATTTTAACATTCCCTCTCTTCTGCTCTTTCATTGTCTCTGGGATTTACTTTTTGGTATTCAAAGAATAATAATTATTGATTTATATTAGCTGTTATCCATTTTCTTACTGTTAGCTCATTTATAAATTATTTTAACATTCCCTCTCTTCTGCTCTTCCATAGTCTCAATATAAACATACATATATGTTTACATATCATTTCTACTTCAATCACTAGTATTTAATGAGCACACTTCCTTGTTGCAATTCGCTGCTAATGTCCTCTTCTTGTCCCATGGGGGTGTGCTTTAACCACACCTTTCTTTTCATTTAATGGTGTTCTGAGAGGGAAAGGAGATTAAAGCACAATTCTTTTTGAATACTTTTAAAAAATTACAAAAAATATCTCAGAACTTCATTACCAGAAGGTGAAATCCCCCCATCACCCTCACATCTTGCATTTAGCATAAAGGAAAGCGAGGACCTTCATTTTATTACTTAAGAAATATGTACCTTCCTTTCAGCTGGAGCTGCCATCTTCCAGTAATTCACCAAAGTGGCCCACACAACATCATGGCACTTGCTATGTGCTCTCTAGGCCCTTTAGAAAATATGGAGGCGTTCCTTTGGCCACATATGTGCGGATCTACAAGAAAAGCGATATTGGAGACATCAAGGGGATGGGCACTATTCAAAAGAAGATGCCACACACTTTACCATGACACAACAGCATGTTGTTGGTATTGTTGCAAACAGAGAAGAGCAAGATTCTTGCCAAGAGAATTCATGTTTGTATTGGGCACATCAAGCACTCTAAGAGCTGAGATAACATCATGAAAGAAAACGATCCGACAACAGGAGCAGCCAAAAAAAAAAAAGGCACTTGGGTTCAGCCTGCTCCACCCAGCGCGGCATACTTTGTGAGAACCCAGGGGAGAAAGCCAAAGCTGCTGGAACCCGTTCCCTATGATCCATGGCATGAACAGTGCGAAGAAGGAAAAAAAGGCCTCCTCCTGTATAAAAAAAAGGTATAAAATCTATTTTAATTTTTCATAGAAAAAGTTTGTGCCAGTATTACCAAGAAATCAGAAGCACCCAGATAACAAAAGGAATTTTAAAAGATACCCCATTAACCAGGCAAATGAAGAAGATACTAGGTGAGAAGAAACATGCATATAACATGTATATAACAAAGCCCATAATTTGGAAATCATGAGAATCAAAGTCAAGCAGTTAATTACTAACAAAGACAGCTTCCTTTGTCTTTCACCATGAACTCACAATTAGCACTTAATACTAAGACTGGGGACTAAACCATCTATAATCTACTGAAAAAGACCATCTGCTTCTATAAATTTTGTTCTTATACACTTGCCAAAAGAAGAGAACATATTAACAAAATAATGGGCCCTGCACTGTTAATTGCTAGGTTGTTTGCAGTTGTGCTGTTGCTATTCGAATTTAATAAGCCATTCCTTCTGCTAAATTAATAAGCAGCCAAGATTATGTAATAGCTGCTTTCAGCTGCTAATTATTTTTCCCATCATTCCTTTCCCTCCCTACCTCCACCCCCACCCTTTTTGGCTAGGCTCAGCCAGAGCCTGCCAATATGTCATCAGTCTTCCATCCTCATTTCCAGAACCACACACCAACATTAGGAGCACGATTAATGAGTTTAAACTTGGAGGTGATTGCCTTAGGAATCTTGAAAATGTATGTGCTGTATGGAAAAAGAGCAAAGCAGCATTTGGAATCAGAGGATCAGTTTTCATTTCATAGTATTAGCTCTATCTTTGCATGGCTAATGGCCCCTGTTTTCTGTAGTAAGGGAGCAATGGGACATTAACATGTGCCTTTGGGGCATAACTGGTGAGGGAGTCCAGAGAAATTTGGGGAGTGGAGGCTAAAGATCTGCAGAAAGCCAGTTCTGTGCTGTGTCCACCACGTATTTAATATTCCAGTATACATTAATCACGCATGTTAGCAGGAAACTGTCCAAGCAGCACAGTGCTTAAAAAGGAAGGTATTACACATTCTTATTTTGCCAGGTAAGGGGATTTAAAAATATCCCCAAATCCTTATTATATACTACTTTAGCTTTGTAGGCATTTTAACACAAAGCACACAATCCCTAATAAAGGATCGGTTTAGACTGATTAAATTTAGCTTTATGGGAAAACTTAGCATTTCGTTTTCACTTTGGGCCATTAAAAAAAAAATCTGGCCATTAAAAAAAAAATCTGGAACCATCACCGCAACTCAACAGAAGCAATTTCTAGTTTCTTTTGTAAGAACGTAGGTGACTGTAGGTGCGGGGGGGGGGGGGTAATGAATAGCATTCGACAAGAGAAACCGTGGCTGTTCAGGCAAGGTCACTTAATCCCGTGGGGCTCCCCTTTCCGCATCGGTGAAAGACGAGTCGGATTGTGCCACCCATCCATGCTCTCATTCCCCCAAATGTGAACGGGCCGGGGGCTGTGCTCAACTCTTAAGGCTTTTAACAGATCTATCGATCATAGTCCTTAGCGGTCAACTCACATGTAATATAGGTGTGTCATCCGCCAGGCAGCGAACTAGGTGGGGATGCAAAAGGAATACAAGTCAAGGCGTGAACTGGGCTAGTGGGCACATGGGTGAAAGGATCCGTTCCTACGGGGCTGCAGGGCGAGGCTTCATTGGCGCTGTGACATTTGAGAGGAAGAGCCTGGCAGGCAGAGCAAGTCGTCGGCTCGACCGAACCCGACCCCTGAAGGCGAGGGGGACGCGGGGGCACTTCTTGTGCAGAGAGCTTTCGCAGGTGAGGGGCTATGTGGGCTTTTCGCCAGGGAGCGGACCGTCCACAAGCGGGTCCGCCGCACTGAGGATAGGCGAGGCCAACCTAGGGAAGAGACACTGGCACCAGCCGGGGCAAAGAGTCTAGGCTGCCGCAGTGCGATGGGGAGGAGGGGCCGGATTCCGGGCAGCTGCCCGCAGAGTAGTTGCCCCAGGCCGTGTGCAGGCGAGCCCCAGCTCCACGGAAGCGCTGGCAGGTTGGCTCCGGCGGGGCCACAAGTCCTCGTGCCCCTCAGCGTCGTCGCCGGCCGTCACAATTCCCCGGCCCATCGCTGGGGGGCACAGACAATTCCCGGGGCCTGAACTGGGCTCTGGGCAGTCCACGCCCTCCAGGCTCGCCCCGTGGAACGCTCCCCTCGCGCCCCTGAGGAGCAGGACAGCCACCCGCGCTCCTCCCCGAGCCTCGGGCCGGACTGCGCCGGCGCGCCGGACCCGGCCCAGCCGCTTCCGGGTCACGTGGCCTGGCTTCCGGTTCTCACCTCCCCCGCACCTCGGTAGAGTGGCGGCCAATCGGCTTCCTGAGACTGTGCGGTTGCCGCGCGGCCTCCGGGGCCGTTGACGACGGCCGAGCGGCTTCCCGCGCG